AAGTTTTATAAAAGCATAACGGAGTATCTGTTTTTACTTCGATATATTTCATATATAAACAATCATTTTTTCTCAATATTTGCAGTGATCGAATATTGTGAACCCCACATACGCTTGTCCTAAACGAAAGAGGAAGGTGAAGTTTATTACCACTTGGAATTGGTTGTATTCGCCTTGAGATATTGCTTTTTGATTCTAGAAAATGTTATATGCTATATTTGTATGTGCGTATATTGTTTATATACAAGGTATATAATCGTACTTATCGATAAACAATTCGAAGAATTCGTTCTGCAAAAACGGAGGAAATCATTTTAGAGCTCGGAGGTTTTTTATTATACGTATAAGTGGGATATAAAGGTTTCCAGGTATGGTTACGGGGGCAGGGACGAGTGTACGTGACTACTGACTCCTATAACGGCTGTCTAGAAATCCCTTCCAATAAATTTCTAAATAGACCTTTTCAATTTTATACGAATACATCCTCGTAAGTTGCAAAATAATCGCATATACACTAGAATTTGATAACCATTTCATTCTTATATGAGCCCCCTCGTGGCCATATTTTGTGTGATGTATTTCAAATATATTATGTTATTACTCTGAAGTATGTTATCTGAGTAAAAAAAATTGAAACATCTACCTATACCTTTTATAAATTAATATTTTGATGTTTTATGAAGTAATATTTTATTAACATAATATCAAATCAAGATGAAAATATTTAATAAAAAAAAAAATTATAAATATTTAATTTAACTTTTTTTTATAATTATTTTTTCAACATCCATATTTAGGTTATAAATATGTTATGAATTTATGATAGTATTCAATAATTGTTTTTACGTGAAAATCCTCATGTTATATTCAGCCAAATCACATCATTTAATTTTGTATTAATATAAAACTGCAGTAGTGTTTAATTTTTTTCCATTATTTTATCATATTTTATAATATACATTTATATTTCAAAACTAAAATTCATTTGTTAGAAATTACTTTAAATTTAAAACTGAAAAACCGAATAGTAACAATTTGTATTGTTTTTTTTTTTTTTTTTTTGAAAAAACAAAAACTTTAAAAATATACAAAAAAAAATTGAATTACGTATTTTGCGTATCCGGCACTGCCAGGGGCCATAAAGTGCTAAGAATATAGACGTTGTTGTTCATCAAAAGTTGAGTGGTATGGCACTGGAGTCCGATGCACACGCGCGTTTATAACGAGAAAATAAATCAGATTAAGTCAAACGTTGCGGCAACAGCCATATTATTGTGATATATACAGTCGCTGCAGACGGGGAAACCAATTTTCCGGATTGTAAAAAGTTAGTCAGCTTGGTGCGATTGCGGTTTGTGCGATGCAGATACGTTTCATACCACAGCCCGCTGCCCCGGGGGAGAAATGGACGGGCGCGACAATTTTTAATAACATAATAACATTGTCTATCCAATATCTGTCGGATAATTGTGACAATGTTTTAATTTACACAGTCATTGCACGCTGGTGAAATTGAATTTGGAAATGTAAATTTTAGGCAACCACGACGACAATCGGCGGGTGCGCGTGTCATGGAAACCAAAATAATATATATATATATGTATATAAACCAATATAGGGGACTTATGGGCCAAAATAATGCAATTTTCCAAATCAATAAATATAATTTCAGTATAATAATAAATCAGTGAACCTGGACAAATTACTTGCACATTGTCGACGATAAAATATCTATTCATGGTTTTTCACTGTAAGGTTACAAAGTCATAAAGGCACCCATAGAGTAATTTTCACGGAAATGACGAAATTAAACTAAGTTTCAAAATCCATTTATAGCATACAGGTACTAGGTAGGTTTTTCTTGAAAACTAACGAGAAAGAAAGGGTACTACCTTAAAAAATCTATTGAAGGTTGAATGCAAGACATTTTAATGTTCTACTTGTTATTTATATAATACATTTGAGAACACAATAACTAATAAGATTATTAATTTATTTTAATATGGTATCACTTAACAATTGTCAATTAACAAATATCATAGTATTAGAATCATAATATGGAAATAAAAGTTTTAAGTTTTTGTTTTAATATCAAATTTATTTATAACAATATCAATGAATTAAATTTTTTTATCCAACTTTTTTTAGGAAAATGTTTTCCTTATGAACACTATCATGCATACCCCATCAAGGTTTTTATCACTTATTTTTAACTTAAGCCATGTCTTAATTCTGTACAAAACATTGAATAATTTTTCTACCGTGAACGTTGCTAGTAACAATATAATGCAAATTATGATCTAATCTCACCTAACCTATATTATACAATGTTTAACTTCAAGAAAAATTCTTATTTTATTTTATGATAATTTGTAGTCTTATGTTTTGTCAGTAATAGAAGTTTATGATTTTAATTTGCAATAATAATACAAAATTAAAGTATTTATTTTTAAATATGGTATCTTAAAATTATTTTTTATATCTTGAAATATAATTTTATATTTTGTAAATATCGTAAAAAAATAAAAATATATTCATAATATAGACTACATATTAAAATAAATCAAAAATGTTTTTGCGTATAGTAAACTCATAATAATATTATATACATCGTTATTAATCGATGAATATGTGATTTCATCTAAATCTAAGCCTAACATTTCTATAAAAAATAACCATCTTTATATAATTTTTAGATTTTGTATCTTTTGTGGTATCAGTAACTTGTACTTATGAAAGTCTTGTACTAAATTTTCAAAATATTTCCGATTTACATTGGTATATAATGAGAAGATTTTATGTATTTCTAATTACGAAATAGTTTGTTCTTGGTATTTAAAATATTTATAAATTTCGTTAAAGCTCTAATTTCAAATGGACAAAAACAAAAAAAAATAAAATATATATATATCTTAATGTATTTTTAATATTTATTTTACCGATAGAAGAACAACTTATATGGAATCTTGTATTGTGTTACAAGAATTTTTACTCAACCAATAAAGTTTTATCAACGATTATAAAAATACCTAAAATTAAAATTAAAAATTATGTCACGCCTATAATATATCAAAAATAATTTAAAAAAGTTATAAATTTAATGATCATATTATAATGAAATTGTTTATATGTATAATTTGGTAAACTTTTAAAATTTGTTCTGTTATTTTTTGAAATCCAAAAAAAATATCAAAAATGATTTTGGAAAATATAGTAATTAGTAATAATTACTAATTATACGGGTTAATTTCCTATGTGGTAAATGTTGAACTTCAAATAATAATAAAAAATTAATTTGGCTTTCGGGTAGATTTTTTTCATATAGGTTGAGAAATTTATAAAGAAACCTGCATATAATTTTGAAACTTAAATATGAATAGAATTTTTTTTTTATGTATTTCTAACAATAAAATAATTTTTATTATCTGAGATTTTCACAAATTTTGTCAAATTCTAATTAAATGCTGGCTATAAATAAATATTGTGACTATAAAATTTCGATATTTTTTAATTTAGAAATAAACCACTTATTAAGAACATTGTATTACGTTTTCAAATATTTTTACTCATTTATAAATATTTTAACAATATTTTAAAAAAAAATCAAAAATTTAAATTGTCTATGAATAGCTCAAAAAAAAAAAAAAATCAACATATTTTGAAAATTATATTATGTTATTTGTATAAAAATGTTAATACAAATACGCTTGTTGAAAATTTTAAGATTTTGTGGTTATTCATTTTTTAATTATAATAAAATAAATCAATTTAATCAAAATCTAGTTTAGCATAAAAATTCCCATTGTTTCTTGATTTATTTTTTTTTGTTTTTTAAATTATAAAAAAAAGTACTGAGAATTTTAAGTTTTGAAATCTTAAAAGTACAAATTAGATTCAATTTTCTACTCAAAATTAAAAATTAAAGCATTTTATCGACAACTTATTGTGTACTCATACACAAAAAAACATGTATTATTTTAAAATCAATATATTCATCGCTTCGTTCAGAATTTAGGACAGACATGTATTGGTATCAATCATCAAAATTTGAAAATTATATTTAATTTTAAGCATATTATTATTATTGTCCTATTTCAATCAATGCCATATGTGGATTTAGTACGTAATATAATAATAAGTATGTACTATAATATATCATGTATAATGTATAATGTATATATTATTAATAAACTATACGCGGATAAAAATATATTATTGGCTTAAAAGTTTTAATCATTACCATGACGCCAAAACATATACGTTAAAGTTATTATAGCTCTAATGCTGCATATTACACTTTGATATGTTACAACTTACAGCTGCAGCATGCAGGTCGTTATGTCGAATCACGATAGTAAGAACGTCGACGGAGCGACGATAAAAATAAATTGTGTAATTTTTTTATATCCTCTGACGAACGCAAGCGAATATAATAGTGTATAATATGTACTATTTAATGGTTTGGGTAGTCAAACAATGAATTTATATTACAGTTTAACTTGTTAATTGCGAAAATTGTCTTTAAGTGATTACATTGACAGGCGCCGCGTGTTATTATTGCTATAGTCTAATGCTTACAATTTATTGTTTCATACTGCCATACGTATTTGTTATTTGTACAAATAATTGTTTTCTGTTTAATATATACGTACATCTGACATACTAAACAGTAAACGTAATTTCATAAATTGTTCATTGTTTGTACATTAATTGATACACAGCTGACGTGTGATGTATTTTAAAAATATTTACAGGTAGGTACTGTATATCTTACATCGTATAATGTTCACAAAGTCAACAATTATTATTATGATTATATGGTCCACCGATCATTAACTATTATCTATTTGCAATTTTTATAAATCAACATTGTATTCAATAATATGTCAATTCAATATTTTTTTTTAATCATTTTGTTCGAATATGTAAAGATGAATAAAAATAATTTTGCTTATAAATAATACAATTACATATTACATTATTATTAGTCAAGTACTTACTTATTTGTTCATCTGAATCAATTCGGCAAAGCCAGAGTCCTTTGCCCGGTTGTCGAGTAGTACAAAGGTCATCAGATGAAAATCCGAGGATCCTTGACCCCCACTCAAACATTATGATGAATTATTTAATTCCTGTAACCTAAAATTAATTATACTATTAGAAACATAATAGAACACTTCTTAAGGTTATAGGTTATGTATGGTTATAACTCGTAATTTAGATACACTTTTGAAATACTAATAATATAAAAGCATAACTCGGGTTCAAAAATATACTACATATACAGATATACTAATATACTAAAATACAACTATAATACAGTTCAATCAGCTTGTCAACATAATAAATAAATTAAGTCTATAGATTTATTCTAGTATATTAGTTTTGTGAAATATTTATTTATACTATATCTGACTTGAAAATTACAAATTATTTTAATTATCAACGAATACTTTGCTAATATATCTTTTCATAATACAGATATTAAAACGGGAACTATAAAACATTTTAATTTCGTATATATAATATTCAAAATATGATATTTTATTTTTATTCTCTCAAAAAATCAATTTTTGGGCTTATTGTTTTTATCTGTAAAATAAACATATTAATGTTTTTTTTTCAAGTATTACTACATTTCTATAACTACAATTAATTATTTTATTTATTTAGGTATATAATTAAAGGATTTTACTAAAAAATACAAGTTTTAGTAACTAGTAACATTTAATTAAATAATTTTTTTTTTTTTAATATTAAATTGATACTACTATACATTTTTTTAAACATTATTCTAAATGTATTCAACTATTTTTAAAAATAATAAACAATTAAATACGAGTATATTAACTAATGTTTCATGTCGATTGTCATATTTTTAATGATAATGAAATTAAAGTTTACTTACTATGTTGTAGATATTATTTATTAGATAAACAAATACAATTGTATGATTATAGAAATTGTTACTTCATTTTTAATAGATATCGCGAATAAAATAAAATAAATGAATAATAAGTAATAATATATTACATTTGCCACATAAATATTAAAAAAAATATATAAATATAATACAATTACTTTGCACTCTTACCAACAAATTAATATTAACTCGTTGATCGAGAACTCAAGCATATTATATCGTCTACAATTATTATTATAGGTACCTGTAATTTTATTCATGGTTATTTTATTATTAATAAGAATTTAAGGTAGACAGTAAATCATGTAAAATATATTTCTTTTTATGCTAAACAGTGAAATAAACTTGTTATTAAATTACAATACACGCTAAGACCAAGGTCATTTATTTATAGTTTATAAGTATACGTATAATATACATATATACTTACGATTATAAAACAAGTGAATGGTGACGTTAAAATTAATGTATAATTATGTAATTAATTTGATAAAGATATAAACAACATTTTCAATAAAAATTAAATTAACATTATAGTTCATATTAAGTTATAAATAACATTTGTATCTTTGTACTGCATTTAATTTTAAATTTACTTAGATTTATTATTTTTAATTTAATACAGTCTTCTTTTTGATTATTACTTTTTTTAGGAAAATGTATATTATATTGTCAGCGAAATGCTGAAAAAATATTTTGCTATGCATTTTAGTGTCATATTGTAAGTATTGTATTTTTTTTAATTATACATACTTTCGTATTTTATTTTACATTAAAATTAAAAACCTATTAACATTGTTAGGTACAATAACTTTGTGTTTTGTATCAAAGATTATGTTTAATCATTTTACAGTGATACTGTTAGTATCATAGGATATTTAAAAGTTTAGAAAAAAAAAACTGCAATGTATTATACTATTATAATATTATAATATGGCTAAAATCAGAGTTAATTTATTTGTTAAACATTATATTTCTTGCTATTTATATAATATAATCATATTAAGTCAATATGATTTACGTGTAAAGGATTTTGATATGAATTTACACGTGTTTACAATTAATTAATAATTAATAAATAGTGGGCTTTACTGAGTAAATACGTCAGTTTTCGACTAAATATAACATCAAACAGGTCTAAATAAGTTTTGTCAGCGTATAGCCAACGCCTAAATTATAATATTATTGATTCATCAGTTCTATGTTCGATTAGAATATTTTTTGTAAATATTACTCGCCGACTGCGGTATGTATTCACTATATAGTATGTATACTATACAAATACAAATTATGTAAGCACGCAAGCCTTTACATATAAATTCAAACATGAAAAGTCCATAGATGTTAATAGGGGGGCTTAGGTGGGCTTAACCCACCCTTCAGCTAGTCAAACCCACCTAAAATCAAATATGAATTGAAAATTTGAAACAAGCAAGTTATAGCAATAATATGTTTTTGTTTACTTGTATCACAATAGAACATAATTATGTATGACATAAAAAAAGTGATAATAAATATTGTATTCTTTTTTAAAAATGTTAAAATTGGATAGTCTTCCTAGCTATTATAGCTCGATATTAAGACGAAGCGAATGTCATGTCTGGCTGTTAAGTGCGAGTACAGACTTACTTAGAGAATATCATACAAATACTACTTACATTCATTGTATGTACACCGATTAAATATTTTCGTAATTAATATGTGCAAACATGTGAAGGTACTAAGACTATTAACATTTTTATTATATTATTTAACTTAAATAAATTATTCATCAAAATTATTTTATTACAATGATTTTATTAACTTCATGATTCATGAGTAATTGTATTATTAAAGAACTATTATAAACAAAATTTTAGTTTATAAATAGCTAAAATTCGAATAAATATTTTTTATTAAGTTTTACAAAAATTAAACACATTTTCAGTATTTTTAACCATTTTGCAGAAAAAAATAGAAAAATACAATTATGATAAATAAATACTATTTTATAATAAATATATTTTGCTGATGGATATAAATTTAAATTATATTTCTGAAATGAAAATGTTGATATTCATAATTTTAATGTATTTACTTATTTATTAAAGGGAGGGTGTATTTCCATAACCGCTTCTTTCTGTTAAACATTTTAAATATAGGCTTAAGCCCACTCAATTTAATGGTTCTAGTTACGTCTATGAATTGAAAACTCAAATTATCGACTTAGATGTTCTTGTTAATATTCCAAAAACGACATAACGTCAAAAATTACATAACTCATCTTTTGCTTTCGAAAAATGCTCGTTTTACACTTGCGAGTACAGTAGTTGCGTTTTTATTGGAAAATTCAGGTTTTTGTAGATTAATTTAAAGAGCTGAATTTGAGAGTATTTATTATTATATCAATTATTTTTTTCTTTTATTTGGTACAACAGATAATACATATATATTTATTAAATGATATATGTTATGTGAGTACAGTTAATTCATATAAATATTTAATGTATGTACTATATTGCACAACCAACGCCGTATATTATACTACTATCTTCTGTTTTAGCGATGCCATTATGAAAATATTAAACATGCCGCGAGTTTAACGTTACAGTAGACAAAACGGCATGATAGAAGAGAACGAAAATGAATAGTCATTATAAATATTGAAATTTAAAAATGTATTTATTGCATGTATGTACGATATTGATAATATTAAAATATTTATATACATTTTACCTACGTATTTGTTACACTGAATGGTGCTGTTTATAAAAAAAATAAGCCTTGAATCCGATAATGCGTCATTAGTATTTTTCTTAACATTGTCGTAATTATAAAAAAAATACGATTCTGAAACATATCCGAAGTACACACATATACACGATATTAAAATACATAAACTCATATACTATACACATAAATCAGTTATAGCGAAATTTTTTTACTGTATTTTGCAACTCCGAGAAACCATCACGGATCGTAAAAATTTTACATTTTATATCATTATATTTGATAGGCGTAGGCTGGTTGAATAAAACTGGTCTACTTGACCATAATCATTGCTTTATGTCAAGGGTGGATCCAGCATAAATTTACGGTCGGGGCACTTTAAAGGAAAAATTATACAATATAGATATAGCCCCCCCTCCTCACTATACGAACATTTTTAATATTTTTTTCCAACAGGGTGACACTTGCCTTCAGAGCCCCCCCTCCTCCTGGATCCACCCTTACTTTATGTACAAATATAAGTAAAAATGTATTACATTATAAAATACTGTTGATCATTATAATTATTACTTGAATGTAAAACTATAACAGATATTTGTAACTGTGATGGAAAAGTTGTACAATATATGAAACCGTTAATATTTAAATATTTATTTATTTAATAGTGCATTGTTGCATATCATCCCAGCGAGTAAACGTTTAGACACTATATATATATATACTTTATATATAGGTACCTACTTGTAGTATACAACAAAAAATTATTATTTAATTTATTGTGTTATAATTGTGTAGGCAATCTCCGTACATAAAATAGCATAAACATTTAGCAAAGCCAAAAACATTTATTTGCGATGTAGTTGGTAGTTAAATAAGATTTTTATAATTATTGTATTTGGTCATTAGTCATTAAATTATATTATTTATAATTATGTATAATTATGTTTTTAAATATCTAGTAGTTATAACTTTTAAAAAGTAGTCCATCTCTGAAATAAATGTATCAGTGATGTAATACCCAAATGGAGACTATCAAAATTATTTTGGTATTAAATTTGAATTCACAATTATTCATATGTTAAATTATATTATACTTAATTTAAGTGATTACCTAGTCTAATATAAATTCATTGAGTCCGTGATGAGAAAATTAACTTTTATTTTCTACTTAAGCATACACACATTGTATTATTAAAAATGTTATTAGAAAGAGTGTTTAGAATCAATAAAATAAAAAATACCACAATCTACGTACAATGTCTATAACAACATTATATTTATACCAAAATAAACGCACTACTATAAACGCATTTCCATCATATTAAAATATCATTTTTAAGTTGTTTAAACATTTTAGTAAAATAATATTATGAAATATTCAAAAAAATAAATATTTTCTTAGTAATAAAAAAAAATGTTCTTTTACATTCTTTGAATATTAATTTAGAAATACAACAAAAATAATAATAAATTATTATTTTATTTTTGATATTTATAAAATCTCAAACTGTTGGTCCAAAAACATTATATAAACAATGAAGACATAATGAAACTATAATATTTACATAATAGTTTATTAAAAATAAAATATTTTTTTGGTATTGAAAAAAATATTTTTTGATATCTGAGGGGTTTAGACTATATATTTATAATTAATTTTTAAATATTATTCAATTATTATTATTAGATATATAATACTACTATGATAATTATTGTGACTTACAAAATGCATTTAAATCTAAATTATTAATTTTATATTTTATTTACATTCATTAACCATCATGCTATAGCAATAATATTTTAAAAACAAATTTTCACTATATTATCGTAATAATATTGTTAGTCTATACTTCTATAGATACTCTGATTGGAGCCTTTGATTCCCCTCTACCATTTGTAAATATAAATCATAAACATTCCTTGATCTAAAGAGGTATTATAATATTATTCAATAGTATCAAGTATAATTCTAAGATAAGATGTGAACTGATTTGTATATTATATTAGATGAAATAATATATCGACATAATGTATGTACACAAGAAAATCAATTTAAAACATTATTCATATTATACTCTTTCAGCTATAAACAATACTTATAATAGTATTTATTAAAACTTATTTTAGAAATGTGGTACGTAAATAGTTTCGAGGTAAACTTGAAAACTTGTCAAGTAGAGGTAACCGAGCATTTTATACTGCCAGATCTAAATTTAGCTATGTGCCCAAATCTGGTAAAGTAAGGAACTTGGTTATAATAGTAAACTGCGTTACGCAACTAGGTATTAAAGGCGCGCGGAATAATAAATATGCCCATTTCTATGCAAAAGAAGAAAATATTATATTAGGACGTGCTTACCGGGACTCTGTTACTAGAACTGAATATTATTAAGAGGAAACTAATTGATAAATTTCGCGGATCAAAATTCAGAAGTCGGAGTGATGAGTTGATAATAATACAGGCGTGCAAGTAAAAACCGCTCAATAATGTCAATCTATTTACCAAACATTACGCATTTGTTAGTAATGTGTCAAAATAAATTTATATAAATAATAATATACAATGTTATTAAAAATATAACGATTAATGATATACCAATTAAGTGATATCTAATATAAGTATGTCTTATAGAAAAATAATCGCCATCGTTGTCTTCGTGTTCATTTAATGACCATAAAGTTTTCGTGTTCAAGTTAATAGCCATAATTGAATTTTTTATGACGAAAATGGCTTAAAAATCGTCAGTATTTATGTCATAGTTTGACGGTATAAAAAGATCTAAGTTTCTATAATAGTTAATATGTATGTAAATAATTATTATTTTAGTTCTAACACAGAGAAAAAATATTATAAATAACTTAAATGTCCCTACAGACTACAGCAGTAGACATATATTGTGTCCCGAGGGTATGTGCAGCTTTGACAGTGCGGCTTTCGTGCGTCCCTAGATTTAAATGGACTGATATAATAATAATATGCTTATTTTGTCTAATATAATTATAAACGATTCTGGAATCGATACAGGGGCAGGGGGATAATACAGTCAGTTTATTATCGACAATGACGGTCAAGAAACTATTAAAAATACGTCGTTATTGCTTTAAACGTATTTATTTAAAACCGATTAATTAATCAAAATATATATATTTACTTCATTGTTTATAATTAATTACTTAGTATGACCAAAAAATGCTTATTGTTATTTAATTTAAACTTTGTATGTTTATATACTTACCGAAAAGTGAAAAAAAAATTCCGTAAAAATGAATAATTATTCTAAAAAATCAGTGAAGTTTATTCTCAATTACAGGAGCTTATCATCATGTGATAGCTGCATATTTTGTATGATAAATTTTATTAAAATCTGATTCTTATTTAAATCATTATTATTTAATAATAAAAAAAAAAACAATACTGTTATTGATTATGCTGGTCATTATATTGATGATCGACAATATTTGACGAATACAATACGTGATAAATTATCACTGTTAATATTATGCGATCGTTATATATAAGGATCAAGTATAATATTAAAAAGGACGATTCACCAAGCATACTCATTACTCACCCCCTTTTTCTTCAATTAGGCAATTACTTAAAATTTGATTTTTGGAATTGGCAATTTGAAATTTTAATAAGTAGTTCATATTAATTTATTAAAATTTATTATTTTTTTTTAAATAGTCCAAGTGTAGTAAACACAAAAAGTATGTCTTTTTTAAATTTTTGTAAAACAATTTTTTAAAATTTTAATAATATTATCCTTAACGTAAATATTTTAATAATTGGGAAAATATTCGATCAAATTTTCAATTAGTTATATCAAAATTCTCAAAAAAAATAAAATATATCTTCGAAATCATTTTTATTTTAAAAAGTTTGTATAAATATTAAACACGAGATATTGTCAATCAGCACAAAAAATTGCAAAAATTTGAAAATACAATTCTTAATTACAGTCTTTATTTTAAAATTCTTAAAATCAATATATCAGTTGCGAAACCAGGATTTATTCAAGGGGGAGGGGGGTCCAAAAAAATTACTTATTTACTGTTTTTCTGTTCTTTTCCTTAAATAACACATACATTTTATTGCTTAATAAGCAAAATTATATTATTTAATATACATATTTTTAAAACTTTTAAATTTACATTTACAATGTATTTCAATTAATAATTATTATTATGCCAGTTAAATTATGGTATAGTCATTAGACATTAGTCTTAATATTGATTTTGTTTGTACATCGAATTCGACGTGCTGTAATTAACTAAATACCAAATCTAATAATCAATCTAACCAATAAAATTTGATGAAAACTTCAGGATAACTTTAAAAAATAAAAATAAATACCATGACATAAGCCCTAGTGGGGGAGGGGTGGGGGGGGGGGGGGTCCCGAACCCGGGGTCCGCCCACCTGGATTCGTCACACTGCAATTTATCCTCGATTTAATGTGCCGTACGATCGGTGTCGTTATTCGGACGATACCGATTGCATATTATAATAATATAATAATATGTATGCGTTTATACATAACTGCGTGCGTGCGCGTGTTTTATCATCATAATAATTAAAACGAGACGTCCGCGACGATATTTTACGAGTATTTCTACATAACATTAATTAATAATAGTACGAATAATTCGGTAATAATCGTAAGAGAGGTGACTGCTGCAGTGAAGCGTCGGCGGCGGTGCCGGTGTCCGCGGCAGCAGGCGGCGTGTGGCGGGCGGCGGCGGCGGCGGTGACGTGGGCGGGTGCTGCGGTGCCTGTCCGCGGTATCACGCCGAAGGGACCGCCGTGCACCACGCCCACCGAGACGCGCGCGCGGCCTTTCGACGTCCGCCGAAGCGGAGGGACCGAGCGGTGTGCCACACACGCTTCCTTATCAGTCCTGACGACAACGGGATCCTGGATCGCCGACGTCGCTCGCCGTACCCACATACGCCAAACTACACACCGATCGGTCTCCGCTCGTCAGCGTCACAGTCGCCCGCTGCAACGGCGTTCACCCAACGCGTCCGACACGACCGTCAATCCGATACCTATAATATTATTTATTTTTTTCCGTTCGCGTATTAAATCTCGTAAGCGCCCCCCCCCCTTCCCGTCGATATCGTCGCCGTATCCTTTATCCGGTATACGGGAGCCGCCGGTGAGTCCTTCGCGCGATCGCTCCGAGGAAAAAATTTTCTTCGAAAATATCCTTTCTAGTCTGTTATCGCGTCACCGGCAACGACGTCCCCCGCTCCGTACCTACCGGTGCCGGTTCACTACTACAGCGCGACGGGAAAACGATCCATCAAAAATTAAACCGTTTTTGAACAAGGGTAAGTCGTTTGTTTACGTATAATGTAATATTTTCCCGCGCTATTATTCTCATCTAGCGCAGTGCTTTCGCAAATCATGCAAATTCCGTTCGACCGATTTTTCTGTTGACGACGAAAGACACTGATTCAAATTATTGTATACAAAGCACTACTCGTACGTATATTATAAATATCTACGCGCAGGAAATTCATTCGCCGTTTTATACCGGCGATCCTCAAGTAACGCACGTACGAATTTTTATGTATTACAAAATATGGTTAATGGTTATGTGGATTTTTATTGTTGACGGTTTGAAATAAAAACTTACTAAAATTTGTACGTTGCAAATATATTACAAATATAGATATATTTTAATACACATTCATTTCGGCGATTGTAGATATCAGACGACAAAATTTAAAATAATTTAGGCGTGTTACGAACTAAGCATATAGTTTTAAAATTTGCCTTTATAAAATTAAAAATAAATAAAAGACATACATTTATGATGTAAATCATCATGTATAAATAAGTAATACTTTATATTCAATAATGTTAAATGATGTATTCAATTTTAAAACAACAACGTGATGGATTAATTGTATTTTATTACTTAAAGTAGTTTAGCGTTAATAAAATAATAATTAATTTCACATTTAGTCTAATGAAACAATTAAAAAAATAAAAACATCATTCATCATATCACTATATATTAATATATATATGTATCAACGTATTATTTCTATTTATAACAGTAATTATATATAGATATCAAGTTTAAGAAAACATTTATTGTAATAATCAAGTCAATTTATTTATAATATATCGTATTAGAATATTCGTGTTTTAACTATAGACGTCATCTATATAATAGTCTTCACGTTTAAATGCAACACATATATAAATTGACATTTGTTTAATTAACACATTACATTCAATTAAGCAGTAATGAACGTAAAGACGCATTAAATGTGTTTTAAATTATTAAGATTCTCTGATAATAAAAGTTACTTTTTATTCGTAAAATGTTCATATTATACGATAATTTAATTTAATAGATGAAGCTTTTAATAGGCATTACTGGTATTAGGTGATTTATTTAATTGGTATTCAAGACTTTATTATCTTGTTAAACTCAATGAATATCCTAAAGTAATTTCATAACATTTTGCTGAAATTTGGTTTAAACTTATTTCGTTACATTTTAATATAATTTTAAACTCGACATCGGTCACGTGCATTGAAAAAGTCGTTTTACAAATATTAAATATTTCAGTAAACCTTTACAAAAATTTCTAAATATTCTTTTATGTGTTGTAAACTTGTAAATTAACTTTACAATTTACATATATTTTATTTGCGTAATTAAGACGTTTTTACCTATTTAAAGATTGAAAAATTAATTTTAAACAGGTTTTTGTTATTTTTGTTGATACAATATTATATTATTTTTTTTAAAGCATCTATAACATTTGTAATTTAACTACAGTAATAAGATGAAAGTGAAAATTTCACTTTAATTATTTTACATTAATTTTCTTATCATATAATTTACCTATTCCATAGTTTGAACTTACTGAAAAATTGAATTTTTTAAATAGTTATACATCTATATATACCTAATTATGTAATGTAATATTTATGATATTATGTTATCACAATGTATCAAAACTGTTAACTATAATAATAGTTTTAAATTCTTATATAATTATATAGATACAAGTTTGATATAAAATTATTATAATTTCATTAATAATGTATATAATTTACGAGGCAATTAAAAAACATTTTAGATTTTTATGAGAAACGTTATAGACTAGTACCTATTGTAATTCTTATGTAATGATCTTATGTAGACATAATTTTCTTGCTATGTGTGATTCATTACATATGAAAGATTAACATGAAAAACGTATTATTCTTAAATGGTATATTTATTTGTATAAAGTACTAACACTTATAAAATACGAATACGTTAACAATTCGATAGTATAGCTATTTAATTTGGTACCACATAATCTTATTATAATAACAACGCATGTATATAATATAATACCGTCGAAACTAGCTGAATCGATTCATAATATTAATACGTAGGTGTTTTATGTTTTATTTCGATGGTTGCAAAAAAAGAAAAAAACGTGATCGGAGTACGAATTAAATCTGTAGAAGCTGTTGAAATCATCGCACAAAACAAAACGTTATATAATACAATCATTGCAGTAGTCACCCATGCCATACGTAGGTCTCTATACCTATGTGCAATATGAATAAAAAAAGGCATTTCGATAAAATAATCAACACTATATAATAATACGCTGAATGTTTTGCTTATAAACATATATATATATATTATATTATTAAATAAAATATGACGCGCCTTTGTTAGTATCCGGTGCAAAAGTTACAATCAAATACAAATCGATTCCTTCGTTTGAAAATCAAACATTATTGTACATTTACTACTGGTACTTAAATATATATATATATAGACTTACAGGAAACGGTCATCGGATGAACGGGTGACGACAATAATAATTCACCTATAGAATCCGATCAGACTTTTTATATACATACATAATACGCACACAGCGTGAGACGTACCTGTACAGCATTAACGAACGATGGGGCTTGAGACTTGTGCACAACGATCACGTACTCGGTAGTTCCTCGGTATAACAAGCGTTGCGACAAAAATCGTGTCGGATATTCTGATGTACCTATATTATATTAGATACCTACACGCCAAAACCGTTATTACACTATAAATACTTATATAGTTACATGTGCGTGCTATTATGCTGCCTTCGTCCTATGCACTGTATATTGTTTGTATATAAACCTAAGGAATAAAAGTCTCAGTAAAAAAAAGTGAATCATAATAATAGTAATTAATTAACTATTGTAATAATAATATAATACAATAATAAACTTATTAAATGGGAAACATTTATATTTGTATGTAAGTTCGTTGTATAAAAAGTAACAGTATACAAAATACAGCCAAAAACTTGTAAAATTAAATTAAAACAATTTAACCACACTTTTTTCTTATATAATGATTTATAGATGAACAATTTAATGTACCTATACTGATTTTATCCACTTGTATTTTTAAATATATATTTTCTAAACTTTTTTTTTACGTTACGAGTTTATCCTAGCTTTTTTTTAGCTTCCCGAATCATCTACCGCATTTAAAACCAATTTTATATGGAAATTGTAGAGTGTATAATAAAATATAAATATAGAATCAAACGAGATGTGGGTTATGATAATGTTTTAGATACCTATGACAGATGTACATCATGAACAGGTATTTTACATTAAACACACCTATCCATATCTATTAAATAATTTATAAAATAATAATAATAATAATAATAATGAAATATAAATAGTACAACCTATAACAATTGAATAAATACTTCATTATTTTTTTTTCCGAAACTTCTTTTCCCAAAAACATTATAATATGCAGAGCATCTCTGGAATATATGAGTATATGACATATATAAACATAATTCTAGTATAAAACTACTAAAATATTGTCTAATCCACTAGACTTCTTACACCTCTGCCTACCAGCTACATATTTTACATGTATATTATACATCGTAGTACAATATGGTCGGTCTGGCGAACGAGCGTGTTTAAAATAATGTCTCTTTTGCTAACAGTTCCACAGCCTCTAAATGGAACTGATTTATTGCGTAAGTGCCGTAAGTGAAAAGCAGGAGGGATGAGACCTTTTTGATATTTATAAACATCATACTATTGACATCGACTGTCATAATATAATATTTCAATAACGTCGATTATTATCATTCGTATTCGATAACATTATAGGATGCAGCACGATACATTATTGGTACTTACTTAAATTTTATTTATTTTTATTGACGTTTTTCTCACTGTAAAACTAGGACGAACCATTGTTTCTCGCTGTCAAAAATTATAACTTATAAATGTTATTGATACATTTTTTTTTACGTTGTATTTTATCAACTGTCTAATCATTCATTAAAATATGAATGTGCACTGTCCGATGTAAACCCGACAAAACGCATGTGATTTTATGATGAAACTGCCCAATATTATTATATTTATTCTTTATCCAAATAAATTTTAACAAAAATATAACTTGCAGATGTGTATAAACTCGTATCAGGAGATGAATTAAAATCATAGTTTTTCTGTAAAAAAAAATGATCAAATAATGTGTTTATTACTTTGTTTTGTAAAAATATAATATATGAAAAAGTGAGGTTAATAATGATAATGACAATAACTTATATTAATGTTGTATTGCAAGTAAGAATGAGTAATTACTTAATGAAACTAACCCGCGATATTATTAATCGATAAATTGCATTCCTTCAAGATAGTCCATCTTGATTAATGTGAAAAATATTAAATATTATATCTATAGAATATTTTGTACCATATGTCTTGTTATTCATTTTCTTTTCCGTTAGAATTTTAAAACTCTACTCTATCTACTTAAATAATTGAGTTATAAACACCATGTAGATTGTTGTAATATATATTTAGATCATTGCATTATTTATGTAATTGTTTAATAGCGGACAGTGGTTATAAACACGGTTTCTAATGAACCCACAATCAAATGATAAATAGGTATGATGGTCACCAATTAAACAATTCATTTATTAATTGGATAAGTTAATATAAAAAATGTTAAGATGTGAATTTTATGAACCGAGTGAGTAAGTGTTTACAATCAATGGATTTTAGGTTTTTCCGGTAACTTTATTGTGTTAGTTAATTAGTTATAACTTATAAGTATAATGTTTAGATGAACGAAAAAAGTAGCAAGGGGTATCCCGAAAAATTTGACCCAATATTCCGTTCTTTTAAACTTTAAATACCTACTAATAACTTAATTAGCTATATAAATAGTATACTCGTTCAAAATTTGATTACTAAGACGTGCCAATAAGTACTCTGAAAAATATTCAGCTTAGAAATAAGAAATAAATAATGTACATTATCACTAAAAGTAAGTAAAAACTTTAAAGATGATAATGCTAAAATTAAATACAATTATGTAAAAATAATATTTTTACAAAAGTCGAAATTTTGAAATGTGTGTGGATCACCTTATAGAATGTAAATGGATGTATCTGTATAATTCGTTTAAATGTGAAAAGTGTGTGGATTTAGTGAGTACGGTTCTGATACGCTGTACGCGTGTAGGAAGCACCAGTTGATTATTGTGCAATTGCACGTTCTAACATCTGCGAAATAGATGTCTTTTAATTAATTTAACGAAGTCGGTGTAGGCTATGTGTGTACTAATTTAAATGGGCAATAACAACGGGAGGACGGTATGTATAGTGTGTACCCTTTTAATTTCAATTAGGCCCTGGTCGGCTTAAGTATTATAACTTATGGGCGAGTGGTGGTCGCGGGGAGGGTAAAAGCAGAGTTTAGAGGGGAAGGCGTATTGTATTCGTATAATAATTGTAATATACGGGTGATGGGTTCCTATTAGGTTCCATATATTACAAATAATAATTAACACTAGCCCTGTACGTCGGTTAATTAGTGCATAAGGGAAACGATAACAGACTTATAAATTGGCTAAATTAATTTAAATGGATCCGTCCTAATTAAGCGAAAAACAAATCGACACGCACGTCTAAGTTATATTGGAATTTGATTTAATGTAGCGACGAAGGACGACGGGCAAGTAGGACGGCCGCTTATGCTGTTACTGTTGTGTTATGTTGTTGCAAAAATCATATTTGCAAACACATAAAAAGCGGTTCACCTAAATATAATATGTTTATTTTTTTATTCGACCGAAACCGGTTGTGTATTGACGACTAAACAACGTTTTGCAGTAATCATTAAAAAATATGATATAAAAAACAATTTCAATAATTGTTTGCGACAAATTAAATTAATAATTTAAGTAATTTACATGTAATGTGCAATGATCTCCGAGAACAAAATATAAAAATTAACCTACTTAATTAGCGCAATGTCAACTTTAAGTTGCAGTAAATTTTTAAATGCGAGAACAAAACGAATTATTACTACAGCATAATAATGTACTATTACTATTTGTCTACGTATACGTAGTAGATTGTAGATGTGGTTAACCGATATTCAATTTATTTCAATCAGCATTGTGTGTTACGATATGAGTATAAAAAACAAATATCATATTAGTACTTATTAACATAGCTATGTGCAATGAGCCTACTATATTAGTTATGAGACGATTGAAATAAATTATAGAAATAGAAATATATTACACTATTTTTTTTAAAAATTTTGTAATGCAATTATATTTTTAAACAAATACTTCAGGAACAACAATTTTCTTAAATATTTACTTCTATTTGTAAGAAAATGTCCTATAAAAACATATTTCATGAATTGTTTTTTATATTTTATTTAGACAACTATACTTAACATAATATCGCTATAACTAAATCGATTATAATTAAGAGAACACGCGAATTTGTTGTCTATATTATAGTGTTTTGCACACAAAAAATTTAAAATATGCGTTCTATATTCTTAATATCATTTTGTTATTTTTGATATTAAAGTAATTGTACATACGTGATACGTATAATCAAACTTCAAGACAATAGCAATATCAGTACAGTTTTTAGGTAGAATTTTTTCGATATTTTAATTTTAAAGCAAGATATTAATTTTTTTACATATCATCATTTTAATATTTACTTATAACTAGTTTCAACATAAGTATATTATATTAAGCGCTTAACAGAATTTAAGATAAAGGCAATAAATCGGCGTTAGTAAGCGTCTTCTGGATAATGTTCTTACCTTGAACTTTTATAATTGGACAGTTCGCTTAAATATTAAAGCTAACAAAGTAACAACACAAAATCGGTTCTAATGAATACAAGTTTGCTTTATTGTATGACTTGATTGTAAGACACAGATAACATATACGGGTTCTCTTAATCATATTCGTTGTCTGATAATTATATCATAGTGTTATAGTCGATTCTATAAGCTGAATTTAAATTGTTTTTGTATTATCGCGGGTATCAACTATATAATAAAGATACCGCGTAATATTTATTTATTTAATATAAGAATAATTATTTTATACAATATCACGTTATACATTTATACAATGCGTCTAGTGTTAAAAAAAACGGCGGTTAACAAATAATTAAAAAAAGCATTGTTTTCAAATTTTGCAGGAGCAGCTGGCGGAATGTTCTGCTATCATTGCCCAGCGCCCCCATTACACCCTACACCATCGACACGGATACCATCAATCGACTATCCGTTTTCATCGTCACATCCATGTAAGTATTAATCTAACTGTAGCGTATATGCAGCATTATATTAATTGTAATTGAATAATTATTAAAAAAAAAAAAAAAAAAAAAATGAATAAACGGAACTTACTGTATTTATCTCAGGTTTAAAACCTAATTTCTACATAGTAATCCGATAAAATAGGCAAGACGAATTTTTATTGCATATACACATATTTTTAAATTTTATTTATTATACCATACGTGTGAACAAGAAATAAACTAGTGTAAAACAAACAAAATATTTTTATAATATATAATGCAATTTAACGCCAATAAATGTTGTATTGAATCAAAGTGCATTACTTCAATGTTTTTGATCAAGCTCCTATTTTTAAATTTAGATACATTGTTATTTTTGTTTTTTGTTTACTATATCTATATACCTACCTAAATTATTTTTCCGAGTTTACTCTTAATAATTATTAATGGTACCTATCTTCAGTTTATTTTTAATTGTGTTTATTATACGATCCTATATCATACGGCGATGGTGAATTTACTACATTAAAATAGCGGTATTAAATCAAGGTTTAACAATGTAATAATATTGTACTGCAAACTTCAATATAATCTTTTTGCTTCTAAAAATTACACTACCGACACGACCGCATAACCCGGTAATTTAATTCCGGAAATGAAAATTTTTCCATGAATAATGAGTCGGGATTATCCTCCATTACCGGGGTCCCTATGTATGTTGCAATAATAATAATGAGGCTTAATTCTTTGTTTTGAAAGTTTTCTGCGGGGGCTCAAAGATCTACAACATGGTTAAAAATTTAAGTTTCAATTTCCGAAAGCTTGTTTTTACGGTGTTTGAATTTCCGTAAAAGTTTCGCGGTATTGTCAGTTACGGGTTTTTGTATGCGAATAAAAGATGGAAAAATAAAAGCTATATTGATAAATTTTTATATTACATGCACCCGGTTCCCAGGAAGAGTTCACAACGTCGTGACTAGTAATGTTATAATTCGGTTTAAGCCGATTTCCACGGAGAAAACGGGTGGTTTTAAAGCCGATTTGTTTGTTCTTAAAAACAGAACTCCCATTTTACAAAAAAAAAAAAAAGATCCCAAAAACATATAGTGCTTTTTAAAATAATATCAAAATGCCTCGCGTACGATTAAAAAAAAAAAAAAAGTAATAATAATAAATATAAATAAAATAAAACCACCGTAACCCGATAGTGTATGTTCAAGAGTTATTATATTTCTTTCGTCCCTGGGGTCGACAAGGCCGGTTACTGGTAGTGCATAATGGACCACAGTGCTGGGTAATTGGCGCCCATCTGTCTGACGGCCTAACAATTTGTATTTAAGCACTGGCCCGTCCGATTCGATTGGTATTTTTGGTGTTCTGACGTAGTGTAACGTGATTAATCAATGATATACGCGTTGAGGTCATATCTGGGGAGGGGATTTTTTTCTACTGGGGAACAAATACATAGATGGAGTATGTATATAGAATGTGAAAAATAAGATTACGTACATCACTGTTCACAGAGTGTTTATGTAGTTACAGAAGGGTCAGAAATTAGAGACCTTCTGCACACTTTGATCGAAACCTTAGCTAAATATTAATGGGTAATTCAATGTTTACATTGCACCCATTCAAAGAGATAAGAGTATATCAAACGTACTTGTTACATTAGTTATAAAACGTTTGTGCACTAAAAAAATAGTGAAAAATTAAATTTATATTTAAAAGTAAATTATGAAAACCCGAGTATCTATGAATTATAAAATATATATTAACTATTGAGTAACACATCTTTATGATTAGAATTTTAGAAATATCAGCTTAGATATAATTAAAATATATTTTATAATTTATATTATACTTATTAAAAGGTTATAATTATTCATTAAAAAAAAATATATATATATATATATAACTCTTTTATCTATCGATTTTTGCCTTAATCATATTTATTAGATATAATCGTATTAGTAATAATAATCATAAAATGTAATTATAATAACTATTGTGTTAGATTGTTAGAACCATAAAGTACCTATTAATAATGATAAACTTTTAAATTGTAATTTTCAAAATGTTGTATTAACCTGATCAGTTATCATTATTAATTTCACGGAAGCATAGTTATATTTGATTATCCTATAGAATTTAGTTTATACGCAAGCGCCTTATTGGTAATTCCAATGTTTAGGTATTATATATCCACCACTTTACCGAAAAACCATTATGGCTTATTACGCCGGTGCCAGACCGAGCTGTGTATGAATATTTCAAAGGCGTAGCTAACGAAAATTTCCATAATGCAATCCTGAAGGAAACCCGCTGTACCCTCCTCCTCCCAGGTACTCTTGTACCGTAATTAGGTTCATTCCTCCTTAATTAAATTCCGGATAGAATCCGTCCCGAAGCCCCTCGGGACTTCTCGGTCCTGTTCGGCGTCTTGTTCCATGATTCACTTAGGAGTTAAACGTTGTTAGGCGACGATAGCTTTTACTGGGATACTATCATCTCAACCCCTTTTGCAATTCCTCTTCCCTAACCCACCTACTCTAGTTTTGTCTGGGCGGGACGGACCTTTAACTACGTTTTCAGTTTTACACCATCAGTCACGTACATTATAAGTAAGGGAGAGTAGGTAGGTTCATTGATTTACTACCTAACTAATGTTTTCACGATCCCTTGATATTTATAAATTACAAATAGTAAATTATATCCGGTCATTCGCTTCCATTTTATTTATAAAAAATATTGAAGTTTAATTTTATTTGAAAATAATAAAAAAATGTTTTTTTTTATCTGTAGGTAATTAAATTATCTGAGTAAAATTAAACATTTATTTCATTAACACTAAATTTTGAAAAAATTTCAATACTAATATAATATGTCTATAGATTTTTCTACACTTACCTAATACTTTTTAAAATTTTCCGATCACTAAAAATAAACTTCTTAAATTTTAATGAATACGTATTACATTTTTGTTTAAAAAAAATTCATCAAATTGATCAATTTTTCAATTACAAACCTTAAGCAGTTTTACACTTAATTACTTGGTTTATTTTATATCAAGACATATTTATTAATAATATTATATTAATCTTAATTTACATTCATGTTAATAATATAATATGCTATAATTGATTAAAGTACATGAATCTTGTTCTATTTTAGATACTAGTTATTCGTATCATCCTGCAATTCACGATGATTCATTTGTTAGACGTAAACAAAGAAGGAATCGAACTACATTTACGCTACAGCAGGTACGTCGTATGTTTATGCTTACATTTTTTATTATCTTTAATATTTTTTTATACTGTAGGTACTCTAAAAATAATTATATTGTACTGTTATAATATATAATAATATGATGTATTCATAGTTTATTATAAAGTAACAATACTATTTATAAATGGAAATGTTTATTATTTATAGTTCTAAACACTAATATTTATTAATCAGTAGATATTTAGCAGATATACAGCTAGAGATAATATTTGATAAGCATGTACACTTCCCATAACACAATACAATAATTTATAATACAATTTATCCATATAAAATAATAATAATATTGGATATAATAAATCTCAAATATAATCTATTTGTATGAAAAATAATTCAAAAATTTTAACAGTTATTGTCTTATTTGATATGATAGACATTATAAACTATTAATTAAATTTTTCAGTTTAAAAACTAAAGACTCATTTTTGTTTCATTTTAAATGAAAACTAAACAAATGCAATATTACAAAATAAATAATTGTTATGATTTAATTTCAAAATTGAAGTACCTAGTTGTATTAACAATAAACAAAAAGATAATATTATCTTAGTATTTAGTTTAATAACCACGAGGGAATTATGTTTTCTTATGGTAACGCACATACCAATAACATTTTTATAATTTCGAATGAACTTTGAAAAAATGACAACACATTTAAAAACTTTTTTTTGATAAAACTTGTAAGTTAGAATATTTAAACATTTATTAAGTTATATTACAAACGTTACTATGTCTTATAATCAATTATAAAAATAAACTTTTTTTTTATTGTTATTATTTTAGCTCGAAGAACTGGAAACGGCATTCGCGCAGACTCACTACCCTGATGTATTTACTAGAGAAGATTTAGCAGCTAAAATTCAATTAACCGAAGCTCGTGTTCAGGTAAATTGAAAAACATACTTAATATAACACGTAGTTTTATGGTACACATTATTGTATAATGAATATTTCTACAAAATTCATAAATATTAGAACTGATGAAACAACGCTTTTTAAATGAATATAATATCTACGAGATAGGCATTATATAGGAACATAAACAAAATTATTTTGATTCTAGGAAATCGTATCATCATGCATATTATCTATAGGTAATCCATATAAATTTCAATTATCTTGCCGATGTAACATTTTATGCCTTTATGGATTTGTGGTATTTAATTCGATACGAAAGCAAATACCTCATCGTTTATCTCTTTATTTTTACGTAAACATTGCAAACGACGCCGCCATAATAAGCAAGACGGTTTGGTTGCTATGGTAACGCGTCAGCTTTGGCCGCCATTGAATACACTTAAGGGGTTAACTTAATAAAATCACTGATGTAATAAATAATATGATGAACTTTTAAACCTTTATTTTTATATTTTTATATAATTATAATTTGCGGGAGAGTGTACATCAACCTATGCTGAAGGCTAAAAACTCCGCTCTCTCGATTAAATAATATACTCTTTTTCGTTATAAACGCGTTGGGCACGTCTGCTACAAATGATCGAAGAATAACTCAATTATTGAGCTAATCGTATTTGAACTTTGATACCTACTATAGATCTAAAATAAAAACAAAAGCAAGGTTGTCTCGACAAGTATTATATAAATGTAAGGTAATTCCAACACAAAAATAAATTAAGTATTGAACGATAGTAAATTCATAAATTAGATCAAATTAACTAGTTAGACTTCAATGTTTAATTAATTATAAGAGTATGACTAACTACTCAATTCATGTGTTTCATTTTAACGTTCCTCACATTATACATTTATGTTATTAAATTATCTGTTTGTTTTATTGAGCCTGAATCCAAATTAGTGTTTGGCGTCTGGACTTACCTACTTAAGACAATTTTAGAATAAAAAAAAAAAAAAAAATAGTTATTATTGAAATTTTTATGTTGTCATCTGTTATTTAAACTATAAACATTATTATTATAATTCATGCCATTCAAATCAACTACGTATACTGTGTAATTAATTATAATGCTACGGTTTAAAAACAGAAAATGGAACTTTTAAAAACATTCCAATCCTTAAGTCATAAATTTCAAAAGGTAAAAATGCAATTAAAACACAAAAAGTTAGGTATATTTCATTATTTTTTATATGATATATGAGTATTTATTCGTGGTATCACTTCAAAAATTAAGTTAAAAGACAATTAAATTTTAATGTTTAATCAATAATTAGAAAAATATAACGAACTACTCAATTTATGTGTTTAATATTCTAAACGTTAAACATTTATGATATGATCTTTTTCTGATTGTTTATTGTACTTTGATTCTAATTGGTGTTTAAACTTAAGAAAAGATTACATAAAATAAAAAAATAGGGATTGTAGAAGTATTTTATTTTCATCTGTCATTGTTACAGATATATTGATTTTAAACTGTTTATGTTATTATAATCTATTTAATTTAATTTAAGCTTCCTTATACCGCATATTTATTTATGGCTAGAACCTAAGAGCAGAAAATTTAATTTAAAAACATCAATCCTTGAGTTGTATTCCTAAAGCAAGATTTAATTAAAACAAATCTCTAAATATGCCTGAATAATAATAATAATAATAAATGCATGCTACGCAAAAGCGCTATTTTCCCTCATTAATTATTTAAGCAGAGATTTTCATCTTTGTCTTGCAAAAATATAATTGTCAAAAAACACTTTTTTCTACTGACCCTGAACCTAACACAACCAGTAATTGAAGGCATTGTTTTGACGTCTGGTAGGTCGACGGTCGTCAATAGTGTTGGACACTCCATCACAGACCCCTGTCTCAGTGTAACACAAAATAATTATACACTATAATACCGTTAGGCTTCCTGCTGTCAAGTGTTCTAAAAGAAGCTTTCTATTGTTGTTGTTACATTTTCTTTTCTTTTTAATAAGGCTTTTATATAAGTAAGTCATGTTTTATTATACAATTAAATTTATATCTTCATTTCAGTTTTATCAACCAAGTAGTTAGTTTAAAGCACATACCTAATTTAACAAAACTTCAACATAAACTACCGATATAATAATTGTTGAAGCTTTGCTTTAATGACTGCATGATCTAAAATATATATTTTAATATTTCATCAAGAAATGTATGAAGTATGATAGTATATTTTAAAGGAAGTAAACGCAATTAGTTTAAAACATTTCAAGCATTATTGTTATGGTTGGCATATAAATAAAATATTATAATTTATTTAGTGTAATATTGTAATATACTTGTAAATAAATAATTGTCATCATATTATTTTGAATCAACGATTTATTCGAACGATAAATATTGTAATAAATAATAATACATAATTTATTTTATTTTTGAAATATATTAGAAGAGTAAATAATTAAGTATACGTGAACAGTGTAAATTTTAAAATATTCAGATTTTTAGTACCTTATCAACAACGTATTCAACTTTTCTCGTTTCAGATATATACTATATCACATCTCATTAATAATTATATATCTGAATTAAAAGAGTTGAATACGTTGTTATTAATAAATGAGTACTAAAATCTGAATATTTTAAAATTTACACTATTTACGTATACTTAATTATTTTACTCTTCTAATATATTTTCAAAAATAAAATAAATTATTGTATTATTTATTTTATTACATTTAAATATTTTTGTCGTTTGAAAATAAATATATACGTATATATATATAGCTTGAATATAATTTAAACTTTTAATGTATGTTTTATTAATTTTAATATTAAATCGAAATCAATAAACAATTTATTATTAATGAATATACCCGTTCATTTTAGATACTATTTTGAATTTAAAACACCAGAATGAATATACTTTGAATACTTAATAGTATATTAAAGCTTAACTCAATAATCGTAATCTAATAAAGTATAATACATACTCAAATATTCATTTTAAGCCAATGTACATATTATAATACTGGACGTTATATTATATTTTCGAAACTATGTAAATGTCTATTAATTCAAAATTCTGTTTATTAATATGATATAAATATTGAAATATTTGTATAAATGTAGGATACTAGTAGGAAATTAATTATTGGACGGATAAGTATATAGTGTATACTTGAACCATTATTGCAGGCGAATAACATATTAAAATAAAATCTTCTGTGTATATATTTATTTCGCCATAATACAGGTGATTTGGGAAATAAAATTGAAAAGAAAATTGAAAAAGTCAATCTCATCTAAAACTATGTGCTCGCGTATAAACATATAAATTTATTTTTAGAATTATTTCGAGTATAAATCTTACCTCTGTGGAAAAAAGCAGACATAAAATATTGGGGTTCGTTTTTTTTTTTTTAACCAACGAGGGTTAAGGGTGCCTGGGGGTGATTTTCGATTTCAATGTAATCCGACAGCTAATAGGCTACCCAAATGTCAATATAGTTTTACTTGTCTCGGGCCATTAATGTCTCGTGCGATGTAGCACATACGGTACACCTAAAGAGACCGCAAAGTCCTTAGAGATTTCGATTACGTAATATATCCGTTTTGTGATTTTTTTTTTTTTTTAAATTATTATTTATATGTACGTAACATACAATGATGTATGCTCACGTTACGTTTAAACTCTTGTTTAGCTTATAACATTTTTAGAGTTTTTAAATCGATGTGTACAAAAATATTGAATTTCATAATATTTATTATTTGACAATAACGATTCTATCTATAATACGTTATTACATGTTTTGATTAAACCTGTTTTTATGAATAAACGCGTTAATAAAATACGTATTTTAATTACATTTTTTATATCATCACATTTTATTATTATTATTTTTTTTTTCGGGGTTTGAATGATTTAATTTTTTTGTGCTTCATTAAAAAAAAAAAAAAAACAGAAGCATTTTAATTACAAATTTATAATGTATTAAAATTGTATGATTTAAATTAGACTTCCGTAATCATTTTAGAAGTTCTAATTAAAACCTGCACAACGAAGTGTAGGTACCAGGCTATAAATATATATTATATCTTTAATATGCTTTTTTCAATTTTAAATTCTCCTTTTTAAAAATACCATAATACATAGGTAGTGAAATTACAATGTTTCCACTACCTCAATTGTTTACGTCTCCGTGGTTGTTCTTTTTCTCCTCTCGGTTAATAACTTTTCTATAAACGAATTGTTATGCTTATACTCGCCCCAGTCTCGACCTGCGGAATTTCCAAATTATAAAACTAGCATTTAATATCTCAGCGGCTGAAAAGCTACAATATGGTTGCTTGCAAAAAAATTGAAACTTATAATGTATAGTATAAATATTATGTATGTTTCGATGGGTAATTTTTCAAACACTCCCCCGGGCTTACGCACTCGACCACGTGATATAACACGGGCAAAGTAAGAGTCGCGCACTTGGAAACAAAGCACTAAACACAGACGAATAAAACTACATTCGTTCCCTCTCATGTCAAGCATAGATACATGCCATTTCCTGAAGGCATACTTCTTACTTTACTTACACACACGATGGTGTTACACACGAGATATACTTTAAAAAAAAAAATTCAAGGGTTCTTTGGGGGTCTCTTGTGGCTTCGGCGCGGACTCTACGTCACTTAACGAATTGATACCACGACCCCGTTGGTGTTATTGATGTTTATTTGACAGCCGCGCATTTTGATTCCCAAATGGGTTATATTCGCGGAAGAGGTTATGCTAGGATGAGGGCTAGCAGTAAGTGCGGGCGGTATTCACGCGGCTACAGCAACAATAACCGGTAAAGTTTTAAACAACAGTGGAATGGAAGAAGAACCCCCGCGAACGTATAAGACAACACAAACCAAATGATGGCTCTTTGACGTCGTGCGTGTGTTTTGCGGACGTTTATTTGTTGAGCAATGTTTTTCGGGTCTGCAACTGACGAAATAGGAAAAATAAAAATAAATATTTTCAATATACTTTACGAAATTTTAAGAAAGGGGCTTTTATATCGAAATATCACATAAATGTGCGTGTTATTTTTAATTTCAGTTGTTGTACTACTGTTTACAATTATATTGAAATTTTAAATTCAATAATACTAAATAATATACTTTAAATAACTGTGAATGTATATCTATTAATGTGTTAACAAAATTATTTTTTAATTTGTAGGTCTGGTTTCAAAATCGGAGAGCGAAATGGAGAAAGGCCGAAAGACTGAAAGAAGAGCAAAGAAAACGAGAAGAACACGATAGGACTGGTTCACTACAAGAACAGCTGGATCATATGGCTAAAGATATGCAACATTCGCCGTCCGCAAAAGTATGTAAAATAATTAAAATTAAAAAAAAAAAAGCATAATATTATACTTTTCCTGCAGCGTATTTCGACGAGATATTTCATCTTAAAAGTTTTACGTTGGCTGGAAACAAAAATTAAGGCAAATCGCATAGTGTTCAAAGTTTATACAAACATATATTGTTAGCATATCATCACGCATTATCTTATTCAAAACCGAGAACGACAAACTTTCAAGCTTTCGGCCGTTAATCATAAAAACACGCATTTTATAGTACATATTATACTCGCGAAAAGTCCTTGATAAGATATATAGCTTTTGAGAAATATGACCAAATGCAACAGCAGATAATATGCAATAACAATAAGAGGTTTCAGTCACAAATCTTGGTGCACAGTGTTATGTTCGCCGCGAGTAAATTTATTTATTTATAGAAAACCCTTTCGGCAAACGAACCTAAATATAACGGAGGGAGATGACGGGATTTTTGATTTATCCGTTAAGTTTAATTTGCCTCAGGTGTTTTACGTAGAGCATATCCAAATTTATGGTGTTACGATGATGTCATCTTAACCCTTTTTAATGTATAACCGAACACTGCGCTGTACGCGCGTTCGCAGTGGTTTTCCTTCATATATTTATCACTCGAGTCGCTTGTCACCGTGTTCGCTGATTTATTGTCGCCAGTTAATAACCTCTTAACGCTTTTTCGTTAATGTTAAGCAAATAGTTTCCAGTTGTCGCTTAAAAAACAAATAAGCATTAAAAAATGAAAAAAAAACGAAGGAAAAATGGAAATAAAAAAAAAGGGCGAACTGTAAAAGAAAAAACCAACTTACAGTTAACCAAAATGGTTGACGGCGCCATATTTATTTCATTTCTTATTTTTACGACGCTAGTTTTCACAACGAACGTAATGTATTATTTATTAACCGGACCCGCGGGTCATAAATCATGAAACCGAATAAAAACGACAGTATTACCACAGTTTCCTCCGGATGATCATTTTTCAACCATAAATAACTTTGCCATTATATTATGTTTTAAAATGAAAAAAAAAATAAAACAAGTACAATATATATCGTAAGGGTAAGGATAATTCTTTTAAGCCGGGCTTGTAAGAAAAACTCTCGTTTATTCGATAATAATAATGTTTATATTTAAATATCTATTTTTTCCCTCGTACAAATTATTAATAATACCTACTATTGTATTATTGTATCAGCATTATCATTATCGACTTACGTCGTTTGTATTCATATAAATAGGCTAACGCATTAGAAGGTGAACAGAGAGACGACGGACATAGTGGCAGTGAACCAGACGAAGATGCCCGTACCAGTACAGTTCACATATCGGATCGTAGCGAATCACCTGCCAGCTGTGGCATGAACGGCGGTCCAGACGATAGGCCAACGTCACCGTCGCCAACAGGGTTAGTATGATAATATTATAGTATTTTATCGTCCGCGAGACTTCGGGCCACAGGAAATATTATTTGGATACTGTGAAAAGTGTGAAACCTCTCGGACCAATATTATTTTTACCGAAATTAGGAAAGAGTTGTGTTTACTAAGCTATACGATTACAATGATAAAATCATTATTTTTTAACCGCCCGAAAAATGGTCTTATCTTTTAAGCGAACGCTCTCGTGTAAAAAAAAATTATTAGAAATGTTGTTGTTATGATTGAATTTTTGATTTAATATATATGTGTATACTTTACTAATTACTAATAATATATGATCTTATAAATACACCCGGCATGGCATTTATCATAAGTCAATTAAATCGTTCTCATTGGAGTTAGACGATGTCAATATGATAAATTTTTAGTATTCTAGCGTGTATAAATTAATAAGATTAATATATTATTATTATATGCTAAACGTATAAATGACAATAATATCACGTATTATTACGTTATTACGTATCTATTACCTACATATTATGTCGACGATCAAACATAAATAAAAATGCTATTTAAATTCACTTTTCGGTTAAATTTAATTAGTTTTTTACCAAATTGTTTAGATTTGACTCGCATACTGCGTTTATTATATTATAGAATTTACCTATAGTTATTTACCAACAGCATTCATAAGAGCCATAATCAGTCCTACAAAAAAATGTAGATACCTAACTTCGGAACCAATTAGTTTTACACATTTTAACGTAGGTAACTTAAAAACGTTTCAAGTGTCAACGTGTGAAGTTTTCGAAAAATGAAAATAATCCACTCTATAGTCCATATAATAAGTATATATTATACGATGCGGTGCTGTGTATATAAAATAATATGTCATTAAACCGAATGCCGAGTGTCCTTGGCTAATTTTATTCGATTCGAAATGGTGTGTAGCGCTTGTTATGCCACGCGTCCAATTGTTGTTAATAAATCGTAATGCAGTTTAAGTGAAGATAAATTCAAATTATACTTGGTAATTGAGCCAATTAAACAATCAATTCGAATGGCCGGCGACATAGAAGTATAAACTGGCACGCTTTTTTTTTTCTTCAAGTGACAATGAAGATAATAACACTAGTAATAATTGCATTTTTTTCATAGTAACATTAATTTAAGGACATGAATGTTTTAAATGTTTTCATTCACATATTTAATATTGTTACTGAATTTGACACGACGCTTTTTTTTTTTTCAGTATATATTTTCGTCTATTTTTGTTTCAGAAATGGAACCGTTGTGGTATCAGATTCGCCGACGCCAAGTTTAAGTCCTTCGCAAATTCGTCCACCCATTAGTGTAGCAACGTCGACATTCAATCATTCAATATTTACACCATTCTCTTCTGAAGGGTAAGTAAATTACTGCAATTTGTCAAAAGATTAACTATGATCCATGCGATAACCCAAAACCATTCATTCGTTCAATACCTGCAGGTCATTCGTGTCGAGAAAAAAATACAACGAGCTTTATTTATTTATTTTACACCCGTACGTGTACCAACCATTAAACAGATGGCGTATACGCGTGTATGTTCATGTGGCTTATGGCTAGGCTACCCTTTTTCTCTCTTAAAATTGTTGTGTTAGCAGATTGTCCGAAATTGAACAAAAGACCCGCTGGTGGGGTGTTATCTGAAGGGTCGTTCTCACTGCAGTGATGCGGTTGTCGCAGCTAACTTTTTTTTGCTTGTTTTTTTTCTCCCTATCGCTAATTTATTATGTAAAATCGCATTATAATATTATAAATATTATATACACGGAGTTGATTTTCAAGTACGAGTATCGATTACGTTGACAAATTAAATATAATGTGAAAAATTAACCATTTTTAAAAAAAATCACTTTTAAACTTAATTAGAATTTAAAATGACATTTTAAAACTTATCCAGCGAGATGAACGAGTCGTTATAACTTATAAATACTAATATACATGTATACTGTTCTATCTTGCGTTAATTTTAAAATAAATATCAATGATGTTTCAAACAACACATTAATTTGAATTTAAATATGTTATGTGGAGATAATTTAATATTGTTTAAAGGATAAAGAGTAGATAATTCAAATAAAGTTCTACCAACTCAACTCCCTTCAGACTTGTGTTGGAAAGTGTGTGTGTGTATTATATATATACACACTCACTATATGATAAAATTAAGCTAATTGTAAGTAACACAGTATACATGCATTTCTTAATTTCCCAAGAGAGCATGTTCTGTAGATTAAGAGGTGTGTATGTACCGCATGTACGCATTTTGATTAGCAGGTTTTTACACAAAACCGTGACGATTATATTATTTTAATAGCATTAATAGTATTACAATCACTATATATATATATATATAGATTGTGGTGTATATAAAGTATATAAACCCTTTTCCATTAGTTATTTGTAATATGCAAATATAGATGTTAATAATTAATTTTTAATTATATCTAAAAATAGTTCTTTTAAACATTCACTACAGTCTTCTTAAATTCTGGGTGTAGAATGTTCACTTTTTATTTTATCGAAACTATATTTTAAGGACGTTTTATGTAATATACAGTTCAAACTAACACAATCTATTTCATCTGTCCAACCGCTCCTCATATATCTTGTTTATCTTTTATTTCTACCAGCTCCTGACTCCTTTTATTACATCCTCTTTACTTTTTTTTAAAACTTTAGTATCAGTAATTTTTTCTATACTTTGACATAATCTCTGTGGGTTTTTTTCATAGATATTTCAATTGAAATGTTTAGAATTCCATTAATAAATTCCCATACACATTAGTCACGATTAATCATGTCACATAGTTTATAATATACACTTGAGGTTTTTATCTTTTCAATTTCAGTTTGTTGTTTACGGGTTTTTTATTTTTTTATCTCAGTTGATTTATCGCGTCCTCAAATATTATTTGAAATGATCGTGTTACACGTATTCATCCATAGTGTAGTATTCGTATATTTGTAACACACGTTTAGAATGCTACAATATTTTTATTTCTCAAGTGCCAACCTACCTATAAGGAACATATATAAATAATCGTTTTGTTAACTTTATGTTACACTTATAGAAAAGTATTAAAAATATTAGTTGTACATGTACATTATACATTTAATGATCATTTCCGTCACCATTTTACAAGACAACCATCGGTCAAATATTATTTGATACAAATTTTATTTTTAATATTGTTTTATAGGTAGTTATAATATGTACAGACATATTAAGCTTTTGATTTGGCCGAAAAGGGATGCATATGGTTTTGATCGAAAAGAGTTTTGCTCCCAATAGGATTTTATGCAATTTCGGTAAATAGCACTAATTAATAATTCATTAAAACACTTAAAACCATCATCACAAATTAGCCGACTGGGTGACGGATGTTAAAAATCACAATAGAATAATAATAATTATTATCAGGACAATCGGATCCGAAAGATTAAATAGTTAAAACCATAGTGCACGATATTACTTCTAAGTACACCTACCTATATTATATACTTATATCGCTTAGATCGCCAGTCGTGTATTGTATGTACATTATTGTTTTGGCGCAAGCGATTCACATGTCAATTCTCGGGCGCCCGACCGCCCACCCTCGTCGTGCAACGCGCGTACACTATATTATTATTATTATTATTATTATTATCATCATCATTATTGCTGTTGTTTCTCGCCCCTGCCGGGACAAAACGATAGCTGCTCTCAAAATACTCGCCCGGCGGAGACAATCGTCGGCATTATCGTGTTATTAACGTGGAAAAGTTTTTCTTTCGGTGACAAGCGTGCACGTGCTGTAGCACCACACAAACACACGCGCGCGCGCACACACACGTGCCGCCCGCTACACCGGCGGCGGTCTCAGGTTACCGAATAATTCGGTTTCGACGGCCCGCGAAGAGCACGGGATCCGACAACCTCGTCCCACTCTCTATCACCCAACGCCCACACACCCCATCGAAAACGCTGCGACGGCTATTTTATTATAATTATTATTATTATTATTATTATTATTACTATTACTATTATAGTGTATCGACGATAGTCGTCGTCATAATAATAATAATATTATAAATTGTAATAATATAACAACAACATTAATAACGCGTATGTACAACCACCGTCGTCGTAAGTGACCCGCGTTAATTCGATTTGAATCGTGCAGTATTACACGCGTAACATTATATACGTATACCGTGTACAATTTCGATTGAATAAATACGATGCCAGTGCTAACGGCATTATAGAATGATAGCGTTGTAAACGCCCCCGTGGTTGTTCATAGTTATTCGCTATAATGAATACTACACCTAATATAATACTTTTCAGATGTATTCAGATGTATACGCATTTCAATCGTGCCATTTGCACGTGAAATATATGTATTCCAACTCTTTCTATCAAACGTATTTGAATATAAATGAAAATACTTTACAAATACGTTTTTGTTTAGTTCAATAAACTAAAAACAGATACCTACTCCACATTATATTTATAAACATTTAAATTATAATAGTTAATACATATCTACGTTCAAGAATTTCAGGTGTCTCATATATTATATGATATAGTTATTATAGTTATAATCATACTAAATTAATTTTCAGTCGGATACATTTTAGCCATTCTGACAAATTATTTGATGAAATCTAATTATTAACTATTAAAATCATTATTAAATATTATTTAAAAAAAAAAAAAAAAAAGAAGAAGTATTTAATGGTAAAATACAAAAATAATGGTTATTGAAATCCAATGGTTAATAGTTAATATAACAACAAAAACACTGAAAAATATATCAACCACAGGTTGATACGCATCATACGTATATAGTAACAACTGAACCCTTATGAAACTAACAAATCTCTTTTGGCGTCATCAGATCGTTGACCATCGCGACAGACCGCATTATATGTGCCCGAGCCTTAAACAAAAAAAAGTATTTTATGTTCTGAAATAAAATTTACAAAGAAAAGTTATTTTTAAAGTATTTAAAGTGCATTTGTCAAAAAGTATTTTAATACTACGTATTATATATTAGAGTTGCAGCTATATATTTAGTATGTACATATTTTTTTTGTCGATCGATGAAAACATTACCTTCGTATTAACCTTTATGTCTTATGTTGTTTAATTACGATTTGAAAAATCTGTGGAATCGTAAAAAATTGTAATTACTATTTTTATAAATATACTCGATTCCGTATGATTTCTTATACAACTTCACTATTACCATATAATTTGCTTGCATTTGTCATTAAAAATTATAAAAAAATTAAAATAGTAATTGACATTTATCTTACTATACCTTAGCTACAAAATTTAATTTGTGAACTTTTGACAGTTGAAATGCTGCCGTCTAACAAAAAAAAGACGATGTTTTCGTATCAAATTAATCTTTATTAGATTTCCTGAAAAATCTTTTATAGTAACAAAATATTCCTTTAAACATGATGAAAAAAAACCATAAGTCTAATTCAAATATCAGATACGATAAGTCTAACGATGTGTGAAGTAAAAAATAAATGTTTTTTCAAAACTTTTGTTTTTAAAACAGAATCTTCTATTGAACAAAACGATAATACGTAAACGTAAGTACGTCACAATAATATAATATTTGCTTATTAATATATTTTATATGGCTACGTTGCATTTAAAACCTTGCAGAATCGCGTATAGTGCACGAAACCCTCTATGTAGCTAGGTTTATACATAACATTATATTATATTGCAATACACCCCTATAAGGCTATAAGTTTCGATTCGTTACAAATTACTTATATTTCCGATAATGTATAATTATTGACTGTTGTAGATCATTGAAAAATAACATTTGGACTTTATGATTTTTATAATAAATTAATTCATGATTTAAAACAAATATTTTTAATAATTTCAATTTCAGTTTATAATAAATTAAAATAAATGGTGGGTATGGTAAAACAAACACAATATAATATATCAATACAATTTTATTTGTAAATTAATTTTCAATTATTTGTTTTTATTTAATATTATTCCTTCCGTGTGCATGGGTAATGTATATAAAGGAATACACGCACCAAAATCAATATTTAAATTGAAAATGATTATATTATTTATATATTAATATATTATTTAACATCAAAAAGTAATATTTATTTGGTAAATTTAGATTTTGCGTAGGTATTTATAACAATTATTAAAAGCTATTCGTAATACACAATATACATGTTAATAAAATTATTTAAAGGTAAATGCTGTTTACTGAATATAATTAACAAAAATTAAATTACATTCAATCGCGTTATATGTACAGTTTAAAATGAATTACTCACTGCTAAAAATTATAATCACAATACCGATACCGATACGTTT